GGCTGTGATTGTGGCTCAATGGTAGAACACTCACCTAGCACATGTAAGGCCCTGGGTTCAATCCTCGGCACCACATAAAAATAAATGAATGGAACAAAGATATTGTGTCTAACTTCAACTAAAAAATAAATATTTTTTTTTTTTAAAAAAAGAACTAGTGTTGGAAAAAAAGAAGATCAGCACTGTGATGAGGTCCACAGAGGTAAGACTCAGATGGATCATTTGAACCTATCGAAAACTATCCAGATGTGCTACAAGAGGGACAAAGAGAAAAAGCAGGAAGAGCAAGACAGTGCAGTTTAGGGCAGTGGCCTCACTAGCTAACCACTTTCCAGCTCACCACTGGACTGCTCGTTTTCCTTAGATCTTACTTTTGACCACAAAACTAGGTTTCTGGTTCTCCCATCATAACTGTTTTCATGTGAGATTAGGGTCATTTGGGGGAAAAAAAGAGTTTCAATGTTTATAGGGTAATTGTGGTAAGAAGCTATGTATACTGTTGGATTATAGTTTTTATTTTATTATTATTATTATTATTAAGATTAATCCCAGGGCACTGCACCACTGAGACACATCCCCAGCCAGGTTATTATTTACTTGTTTTGATTGTTTGTTCATTTTTTGAGGCAGAGTCTCACTAAATTGCTGATGCTGGCCTTGAACTTGTGATCTTCCTGCCTTAGCCTCCTGAATTGCTGGGATTAAAGGCATATACCATCATATCTGGTGTGGATTATAGTTTTAAAAATCTCTGTAGTCTCCTCTGAGAAGAGCAGTGTATCATTCAACCTATCTATATATATATATCACTGAATACAATAAGAGAAAATTAGAAATTAATTAAAAGCCAGGTACAGTGGCACATGCCTGTAATCCCAGTGACTTGGGAGACTGAGGCAGGAGAATTGCAAGTTCAAAGCCAGCCTCAGCAATTTAGCAAGGCCCTAAGCAATTTAGTGAGACCCTGTATCAAAATAAAAAATAAAAAGGGCTAGGAATGTAGCTCAGTGGAGTGCCCAGAGTTCAATCCCCAGTACAAAAAAAAAAAAAAAGGAAAAAGAAAAAATTGATTACAATAAGCTGCTTTTAAAATTTACAAATGAAGTTAAACAGCATACTTTTGTATAACTCATGGGCTGAAGAGACTGAAAAATATTTTTAACTGAATGATAATAAAAGTATAACATTAAAAATTTTCAGATGCTGCTAAAGCAGTACTTACAGGGAAATTTGTAGCTTTTATAAACTTCCATTAGAAAAGAAGAAATATGGGCTGGGGATATGGCTCAAGTGGTAGCACCTGGCATGCGTGCGGCCCGGGTTCGATCCTCAGCACCACATACAAACAAGATGTTGTGTCCACCGATATCTAAAAAATAAATATTAAAATTCTCTCTCTCTCTCTCCCTTTCTCACTCTCTCTTAAAAAAAAGAAAAGAAGAAATCTGCCCTACAAAAAAAAAAAAAAAGAAAAGAAAAAGAAAAAAAGAGGAAAGGCTTAGCTGAACACAGTGTCACACATCTACAATTCCAGTGACTCTGTAGGCTGAAGGAAGTTGAAGGCCAGCCTGGGCAATTCAGTGAGACCCTGTCTCAAAATAAAAAATAAAAAGTCTAGGATATAGCTCTACAGTAAAGCACCCCTGGGTTTAATCTCTAGTACTGCCAAAAAGAAAATAAAAGGGGTGGGGGGAAACAATTGTCTAASTTTCCAGTTGAAGAAGTAGAAAAGAAGAGAAAATTGAACCCAGAAGAGAAGTTATAACTACAAGGAGAGAAAACAGTGAAGAGGGAAAAAATCTAAAAAAGCCAAAAGTTGTTTATTTTAAAAGATTAACAAAATTGACAAATCCCCAGAAAATTGATGAACCATTAAGTAAAAATAAAATTGACCAACATCAGGAATGAAAGAACTACTGTAATTGCAGAGCCTAAAATTATAAAAAGATAAGAAAACATCATGAGGTCTGGGGTTGTGGCTCAATGGTAGAGCACTTGCCTAGTACATGTGAGATACTGGGTTTAATCCTCAGCACCACATAAAAATAAATAAATAAAATAAAGGTATTGTGTCCATCTACAAGTGAAAAAAAATTAGGAAGAAAACATCATGAATAAATAAATAAAATGGGCTGATTACTTAGTAAATATTTTTATCAAAACTAACACAAAATGAAGTAGAAAATCTGAATACTCATACATCCATTCATAATATTAAATTTGCAATAAGAAATATTCTGAGGGCTAGTAATGTACCTGAATGGTAGAGTGCAACCCTGAGTTTTAATCCCAGCTCTGCAAATACAAATAAAAATTAAATAAAATAAAAATATTTACAAAAAGAAAATCCGGATGCTATCAAACATTAAAGAAAATAATCCCAATCCTTTGGAAAACAGAAAAGAGAGCACTTCCCAACTTATTTCAAGAACAGCACATCCCTAATATCAAAACCAGGAAGAGTTATGACAACAGAATATTACAGATTTTATATTCTCATGAACATAGATGCCAAAGTCTTTAACAAAACATGAGTTGTGATGAACTTATCCAGAGGCTCCAAGATGGCTTCATTCATATATCTAGTGCCTTGAGAGGGATTTCTTGAAGACACTAAAACATCTCATATGTCTTCTCCACCATGATGGCTTCATGGTGGGAAGACATCTCACTTGGTAGATTAGACCGCTCAGAGAAAGACACTAAATTGACACTATTGTATCTTAAACAAGTCATTAAGGGTTGCTTAGATAACAGCATAGAATTAAGCTCTACTTCTTAATAGAAGGAGTGAATAATTTGCATCAATCTTTTATCTGTTACATTATCCAAAATAAATGAAAGTGTATATCCAGAAATAGAACATTGAGAAGAATGTTTATAGCTGCTTTAATCATAAGAATTCTGACATGGAAACAATCCAAATGTCAATCAACAGAGAAATAGATAAATTTCTTCTATTGAATACTGTTCCACAATTAACAAAAGCAAAGGATTCATGCATGCAACAGCATGGTTCATTCTCAAAAACATGTTGCAAGGATGAAGCTGGATACAAAAAAAGACTGTATGGTTCCTTTTACATTAAGAACGAAAACTAACCTATGATAATAGAAAACTCTTGAAAGCAGGAGAGGGACTCATCAGACAGACATGAGGTCATTTTCTGGAGTAATGGAAATATTCTGTCTTTGTGTGTGAGTGAGTGTGTGTGTGTGTGTGTGTGTGTGTGTGTGTGTGTGTTTTCAGTGCTGGGGATTGAATCCAGGGGTACTCTACCACTGAGCTTTACATCCCAGAAATTTTTATTTTGAGACAGCATCTTGTGAAGCTGCTGAGGCCAGCCTTGAAATTGCTATCCTCCTGCCTCAGTCTCCTGAGTTGGTGGTGGATTACAGGCATGTGCCACCATACCCAGATGCCATAAGTCTCAATTGGATTGAAACCATAAATTACCAAGGTTTTTCCAACTATCCCGCACACATGAAAACAAGACACTTTACTATATGTAAATTGTGCCTCCATTTTTTAAAAAGGACACAATAACGTTGTTGGCAAGACAGTAGCAATTACATGAGTATAATTTCAGTACCTGAAAACTGAATAAAGAAGATGTAGAACATATTGATGATATATGACATATAGGGTGTTTTTTTTTTAAGTACCAGGGATTGAACCCAGGGGCACTTAATCACTGTGCCACAACCCCAGCCCTTTTTATTTTTTATCTTGAGACAGGGTCTCACTAAGTTGCTGAGGCTGGCTTTGAATTTGCCTCAGCCACCCAAGCTGCTAGGAATATAGTTGAGTGCCACCACGCCCAGCCAGCATATAGTATTTGCTAAATATTTAATACGTATTGTCTACTAAGTCTTTTTACACTTACCTCAGTCTTTTTAAAAATATTTTTGTAGCTGTGGATGAACCTTTATTTCATTTATTCATATGCAATGCTGAGAATTTAACCCACTGCCTCACACATAGACAAGTGCTCTACCACTAAGCTACAATCCCAGCCCACACTTACCTCAGTCTTTACAACTCTGTGAATTAGGTAATACCTGTTTATACAAGTGAGGAAATGTTTGGAAAGATGAAATAACTAGCCCAAAGTCACAGTAAGTGGCAGAGTCGGGACTCAAACCACGCCCAATTAAAACCTTAATCATCATCTGCCTGCAGGGGCACACACAGGAAGAGTTTCAAAAGGGCACATGGCATGTGAGTGTGGTTTCTTAAAGGCAGATTTACTACTGGGTGTTGGAGAACAGAGACTTTCAATTGTAGAAATTTATGATAGGTGTCTTAACATCACACAAAAATCCACACATCATTCAGATTTTAAAAATGGAAAGTATGAGGCTGGGGTTGTGGCTCAGTGGTAGAGTGCTTGCCTAGCATGTGCAAGCCACTGGGTTCAATCCTCAGCACCACATAAAGATAAATAAATAAAGTTATTATGCCCATGAATAACTTAAAAAAATATTTTTTAAAAATGGAAGGCATGAATGAGGAAGGGTGCAAAGTTAACATACTGTTAAGGATTTAACAGACTGTTCAGCATAACAATTGAAAGCATGTCTCTGTAGAAGGCCTGAGTGTTAAGTCTTAGCTTTGCTGCTTCTGGCTATGTGACTCTCAGCACTGTCTTTAGAGAGCTGTTGAAAGGATTCATAGAGTTAATTAATACATGTAAAAGGACCAAGAATGTCCCCCAGCATGAAGTAAGCACTCCAGAAATAGTATTTCTTCCTATTTGAAAGTGAGATTGGTTTGCATCTATATAATGTGCTCAGTTGTTTTAGGTTTATCCCTACAGGAACCTTCTGAAATCAATGCCATTACTTTTGTTCAAGCCCAAGTTATGAAGCTAGAGCATGACAGGCTAGGTCTTGAAAAGAAATCTTGACTCCAAAACTGGGGCCTTTCCCTTGTAGAGAACTAAGGATGGTGGAAGATTCATTTTCATTTTTAGTAATAAAGTTATTCTTTCCTTCCAGGTTTGAATCTCTATTTACTGACGTGGAAATGAAGCAGACAGAGCTGGGAATCACCAGCTTTGGGGCTTCTGTCACTACCATGGAGGAAGTGTTCATTAGGTAAGCAAGAATTCAAATGTATACTCCAAGGACCCTAAATATCATCTATATAAAAATTTCCTAGTGCTTAAATCTCTTCACGAACTGGCCTCACTGAATGATTGTCCAGTCTCTGACCAGTGCTTCCGATAATGAGGATATTGGATAATGGAGATGATGTTAAGTATAATATTATTCAACAAAATTTACTTATTTATTTATTCATTCATTTATTAAACTTAGGATCTCACACATGCTAGGCAAGTATACTACTACCTAACAAACTTAATTTTAACAGAAATTTCTAACAAATGAAAACAGAAAAAAGCATTGTATTGGTTGGGATGCTTTTGCCTACAAATAATAGATAATTATTTAAACCAGCTCCTACTCAGCTGGTTTAAACATTTAGGAAAATTTAATACTTCTTTTTATAAACTTTTTATATATGTTTAGTTATTGATGAACCTTTATTTATTTACTTATATGTGGTGCTAAGACTTGAACCCAGTTTCCTCACACATGCTAGGCAAGTGCTCCATCACTGAGCCACAACCCCAGCCCTCAATACTTCTTTTAAAAAGAATTTCCAACAGGCTGGGGATGTGGCTTAGAGGTGGAATCCTTGCCTAGAATGCACTAGGCCCTGGGTTCCATCTCCATCGCAAACAAAACAAAACAAAAAACCAAAGCAGGAAAGCTCTGGGATTGGCTGGCTTACCCATCAAGCAATATCAGTATCCTGAAGCAAGGATGCAGGCTCAATTCTACGAAGGTTTTTATGGATCATTGTATACAAACTACCCAAGGGGCCACAACAGCTAGAGGGTGGTAAGGAGTATGGGTCTGGTTTTATCCAGTCTAGCAATATTTATGTTTTAACTGGCAATATGTAGTCTGTTTATGAGTAGTAATAATATATTCTAATTTATATCTGTCATTTTATTTATATTTTCTACTAGAACTGCCTATCATATATGGCTTTTTAAAAAAAATTTTTAGGTAATAGATAGACACAATAACTTTAAATTATTTACTTATTTTTATGTGATGCTGAGGATTGAACCCAGTTCCTCATGCATGCCAGGCGAGTGCTCTACCATTGAGCCACAGCCTCAGCCCTATATGGTTTTTTTTTCTCTCTCTCTTTTTTGGATGTTTTTTCCTCATTCTATTTTCACCTCTTGCCACACACTAGTTGGAAATTTTGCATTATTGCATTATTTCGGTGATCAGCTTTCTCAGAACTTTCCTTCTGCTGGCAATGTTCTCTATAAGTTGTTTTCATTTGTTCATTTTTATTTTTGTTTTGTTTTATGCTGGTGCAAAGCTCTCGGGTATTTTGAGATGAAAAAAAAAGTGTGTGTGTGTGTGTGTGTGTGTGTGTGTGCGTGCGCRCGCGCTCATAGGTACCATGATTAAACATAGGGATACTTAACCATGAGCCACATCCTAAGCCCTTTTTTTATATTTTGTTTAGAGACAAGGTCCTACTGAGTTGCATAGGGCCTCAATAAGTTGCTGAGGCTGGTTTTGAACTTGTGATCCTCCTGCCTCAGCGGAGGATTACAGGCATGCTCCACAGTGCCCAGCTGAAGGAATATTTTTGAAATTTTATTCCCTCCTCATTTTTGAAGATTATTTTAATCAGGTTGAAAATTGTTTTCCTTTACTACACAAAAAATAGTATTTCACAGTCAGCAGTTGCTGGGGAAGAGCCACTGGGTTCATCCATTGGTTCTTTGAAAGTAATTTGGATGCTCTTTGTTTTCACTGCTAGAGTTTCTCTATAATGTATCCATGTTTGTGGGAGTTTTGTTTTGTTTTTGAGATTTTTAGCTATTCTGCTTTATCTGATGAACTTCCATGAATTGAGAATGTCTAGCCATTATCTGTTCATGCTGTGCCTCAACTCAAACTTCCTTTCTTATTTTGGAGCTCCAGTTAGATGTATGAGATCTTCTCACTGTCTGAACTGTGTAAATCTGAATCTTAACTCCTTTTTCACATTTTTTATGTGGTACTTTCCCTGAGCTACATTCTGTATAATGTTTTCTGATCTGTCATTCAGATAATTGATTATTTCTCCAAATGTTTCTGATCTTTAGTTAAATAATTCCATTGAGGGTTTTTATCCAGAATTACTTTTGCTGTTGTCATTGATGAGAATAGAATTACATTTCTATTGAAGTATAATGTATACCAAAAGGTGCACAGGTATTAAGCCTACAGCTCAGGTTTTTTTTAATTGTTGGAGTTTTGCATGTTTTGGACACTAGTCCTTTGTCTTAAATACATCTTGCCTATATTTTCTTCCAACTGATGCTTTTTAAAAAAAATTTAATTGACTTTTTAAAAAACAAATGACAGCAGAATGCATTGCAATTTAAAAAAAAAAGAGAGAGAGAATTTTTTAATATTTATTTTTTAGTTTGTTTTCGGCGGACACAACATCTTTGTTTGTATGTGGTGCTGAGGATTGAACCCGGGTCGCACGTATGCCAGGCGATCGCACTGCGCACTACCACTTGAGCCACATCCCCAGCCCCTGCAATTCTTATTTACACATATACAGCACAATGTTTCATATCTCTGGTTGTATATAAAGTATGTTCACACCAATTCGTGTCTTCATACATATACTCTGGATAATGATGTCTATCACATTTCACCATCCTTGCTAACCCCTTGCCCCCTCCCTTTCCCTCCCACCCCTCTGCCTTATCTAGAGTTCCTCTATTCCTCCCATGCTACCCCTCCCTACCCCACTATGAATCAGCCTCCTTATATCAGAGAAAACATTTGGTATTTGTTTTTGGGGGGAGATTGGCTAACTTCACTTAGCATTATCTTTTCCAGCTCCATCCATTTACCTGTAAATGCCATGATTTTATTCTCTTTTATTGCTGAGTAATATTCCATTGTGTATATATGCCACACTTTTTTTTATTCATTCATCTACTGAAGGGTATGTAGGTTGATTCCACAGTTTAGCTATTGTGAATTGTGCTGTTGTAAACATTGATGTGGCTGTGTCCTTGTTGTACGCTGTTTTTAAGTCCTTTGGGTATAGATTGAGGAAAGGGATAGCTGGGTCAAATGGTGGTTCCATTCCCAGATTTCCAAGGAATCTCCATACTGTTTTCCATATTGGCCGCACCAATTTGCAGTCCCACCAGCAATGTATGAGTCTACCTTTTCCCCCATATCCTCACTAACACTATTGTTGTCTTCATAATAGCTGCCATTCTGACTGGAGTGAGATGATATCTTAGAGTAGTTTTGATTTGCATTTCTCTTGACAAAAGTTTAAAAATGTTTATGAAACCTAATTTATGAATTTTTTTCTTATTGTTATTGTTTTTTATGCCCTGTCTAAAATATAATTTGCATACCCTTAAATCACAAGTCTATTTCCCTACTTTCTTCTAAGAACTTAATCATTTTAGCTTTTATGTTAGCTTATTATTTTTCTCGAAATTATTTTATGCAGGTTTAATAAGGGATCAAAGTTCATTTTCTTCCACATGGATTTCCAGTTGGGACACTCTATTTGTTGAAAAGACTACTTTCTGTATTAAATTGTTTGCATACCTTCACCAAAAGTCAGTTGACTATATAGTTTTCTACATTCTACAGAATGTTCCACTGATCTATTTCGTCCTAAGCCAATACTACACTGTTGAGATTACTGTAGCATGTCTTACAGTCAAGCAGTAGATAGTTGCTTAAGTTTTGTTTTATTATTTGAAGATGGTTATAGCTATGATAAGTCTTTTGCATTACTATGTAAATTTTTAAATAAAAATTCACATTTCTATTTTTTTTAATTTTTTTTAGTTATACATTGGCACAATATCTTTATTTTGTTTACTTATTTTTATGTGGTGCTGAGGATCGAACTCAGGGTCTCACACGTGAGAGGTGAGTGTTCTGCTGCTGAGCCACAACCCCAGCCCCATTTCTATTTTTTTTAAAAGCCTTATGTAGTGGCACACAGCTGTAATCCCAGCAACTTTGGATAGCTGAGGCAGGAAGATGGTAAACTTAAAGTCAGCCTCAGCAATTGAGCAAGACCATCTCTCAAAATTAAAAAAATAAATAAAGTGCTGGGGATATATCTCAGGGTCAAAGTGCCCCCCTGTTTTCAACCCCCAGAGAAGGAAGAAAGAAAAAAAAAGGAGAGAGAAGCCAAGCACTGTGGTACATACCTGTAATCCCAGTAGTTTGGGAGGCTAAGGCAGGAGGATTGCAAATTCAAGGCCAGCTTGGACAACTTAATGAGACCTCATCTCAAAATAAAATGAAAAGGTCTGAGGATGTAGCTCAGTGGCAGAGTACCCCTGAAAAGGGAAGAAAGAGGAAAAGGAGAATCTGCTGGAATACTATATCATTAGTTCTGATGATGAACCATACTAAAATAAGATGCTAATAATAGGGGGAAGGGGTGATGGGATCCTATGGGATCCTCTCTGTACTTCCTGCTTTTGGAATTGGGTCTAACAGTCCCAGTCAAGCCTTCAGACAACTGCAGCCCTCATCCATATCTGGACTGCAGCCTCATGAGAAACCTTGAGATAGAATCATCAGCTAATACATTTCCAAATTCCTCACCCACAGACACTGTGTGAAATAATAAATATTTACTGTTGTTTTAGCTGCCAACTTTGGGGATCACCTGTGTCACAGCAATGAATAACAAGTACACCACCTTTTACAGAGCAGTGCTGAAGGGGAAATTAATCACAACTTACTGGGTATTTTGCTGTGACAAATTCACAGAAATAGAATAATAACTCAAAGGCCAGGATCATAAATACATTTCTTGGCACATGAACACTTTGCTAACGACAAACTTTCCTTTTTTTCCCTAGGGCAGGGATCAGTAACTTTTCCTTAAAGGTCCTGATTGTATTTTATGCTATATAGGCTTTATGGCACAATCAAGAGTGTTATGTCAGTACTTCCATAACCACCTAACATGTAACCTTTTTAAATTTTTCTTGTAGTTGTTAGTGGACAGTGGGCCTTTATTTGTTTACTTTTATGTGGTGATAAGGATCAAACCCAGTGCCTCACACATGCTAAGCAAGCACTCTACCACTAAGCCACAGCCCCAGTCCCACCTAACAGGTAACATTTTAAAAATGTAAAATCCATTCTGAGCTCAGGACCAGTCAAAAATTGGCCTTGGCTGAATTTAGCCCATAATTATAGTTTACCATCCCCTGATCAATGGTCTCAGTAGTGCTGTATTTTATAATTTTCAATTTTTCTCATAAAATAGATATTAAATTATATGTCATTTTATTCTAATTTTCATTCAGTATTTTTATTTATTTATTTATCATTTTAGTTGTCAATGAACCTTTATTTTATTTATTGCTATTCGGTGCTGAGAACCAAACCCAGTGCCTCACACATGCTAGGCAAGTGCTCTGCCACTGAGCCATAATCTCAGCCCTATTTATTTATTTATTTATTATAAGCTTTATGGCCCAGCTCTTAGGATCTCAGTGCACATATTTTGTCCTTGGGACTGAAACTGGGGGCACTTTACCCCTGACCTACATCCCTGGCCCTTTTATTTTGAGACAGGGTCTCTTTAAGTTTCTTAGGGCTTCACTATTGGTGTGGTGGGCAATCCTTCTGCCTCAGCCTCCTGAGTTGCTGGGATTATAGGTGTCTGCCACTGCACCTGACTCATGTGGTACTTTTAAAAGAAAATAACAAAAGCTGTTTATGCTAGTGTCGTCTCAGCTCTTTGGAAAAGCCATTGGTTAGTTAACTCAATATTTAGTGCTTATATAAGAATTTATAGCTGGACTCCAGTGGTACTTGCCTATAATCCCAGCTGCTTGATGCAGGAGCACAAATTCCAGGTCAGCCTCAGCAATGTAGTAAGATCTTGAATCAAAATAAAATAAAATATAAAGGGATGGGGATGTGGCTTAGTGGTAAAGTACCTCTGGGTTCAATCACCAGCACTGCAAAAGCAATTAAAGATTTTTTTAAAATCTTGCTACCCAGGATATAATCTAGATATAGCTCCTATTCTGCTCATTATTCTTAACTTCTTAATTTTTCAAATATTATATGACTTTCATTGTTTAAGTCCAATCAAAATGAAATATATTGTGATTTTGAGAGTCTGTATTTGTTTTTGTTTTTGATTTGGTTTAGGGTTTGTATGATGGCAGACTACAGTACAGATATTTCAGCCAAGAAGCAACCCTCTATTCATCCCTATTCCCTGATTAGCAGAGTTCCTGTTGAAAGAATTAAATATCTTCATTCAAGGATCTTCTCATTACAGACTGGTCTACCAATCACACTAAACACTGGAGTAAGCAGCATATTCCAAGTGCATACTAGAAAGCAAATTTTGGTTTAATTCGTGGAATCACACAATCATTTTGTCAAGAAGTACACATTAACTTTTGAAGGGTCTGTATATAAATGTGCAATTTTTAAGTTTTAAGGACCRGCTCTGCCAGGTTTTGGCAGTATGACACTCTTTGCTTTATTTTGAAAGCAAAAGAGTGATGTTTTAGAGAGGGATTAACCCATTCAAATGGAAGGAAACTATCAGAAGACATTCTAGTAGGTTCCTGGTCATTCCTCTCACAGGGAAAAAAAGAGAATGAAAGAAACACACTACTGGTCAGAATATGTATTCATTCCTTCACTGTGAAGCAGATTAATTTATACATTGTACCATCTGGAATATAAAAAATTTTAAACATATCCTTATGATATGGATAACCTATAATATTCTCTTAATATTGAAAAAAGAATATTGACATACATTTTACAAAGTAGTCCTGATTTAGCTGTCTATAAGTATTAATGTAAAATAAGACCATCATGGTCCCAAGTCTTCTCATGAAGTATTACTGTGTATGACTTCAGATAAGTCATAGCAGAGCCTTTGGTAAATGCTGAAAGTGATTGTAGCCTCCACCATACTGAGAGTTTCCCCTGGTGGTGTCTGGTGGATAAAATCTTTCAGAAATCAGTCAGTATTTTGGCCATTAATTCAGAATGCCTGTCTCAGACCTGACCACCAAGCTAAGAGGCAGTGGCACCTGGGCCTGAAAGCCCTCCCACACATACCCACCCATGCAGCACCCCACAGAAGCTAAATGGATGCATGCAGCACTACCACCAAGGATCTCCCACCCCAGGCCTGACTCCAGCTCTTAGGATCTCAGTGCACATAACTGCACACTTCAACATTGTCTATTATTGCCACCAGGGATATCTTTGTGCACCAGTTTTGCATATTTACTTGTAGGATACATGACCAGAAGAGGAATTTCTGGGTTAAAGATTATATGAATATTAAATTTTTAATTTAAATTTTCAATATTAAAATTAAATTTATAATTTAATATTTGTATTTGTATTCATCCAGATAACTTGTTTTCTGGAGAAGTTGTGCCAAGTGAAAACCCATCCAACACTGGCATTTTCCCTACATTCTTCTCTTTTTTTTAATTTTTATTTTTTAGTTATAGGTGGACACAATATTGTTATTTTATTTTTATGTGGTGCTGAGGATCGAACCCAGTGCCTCACACAGGGCAGGTGAGCACTCTACCTCTGAGCCATAACCCCAGCCCCCCTACATTCTTCTTAACTTAAAATTTTTACCAGTCTGTGGTGAAAAAAAATGGTATCATTTACATTTGATATCTCTAGTATCTTGGGTTGCACTTCCAGATCCTTTCTAATTTACACTCTCTTTTTGCCACTAAGCATAAATCATAAAGCATTTTAATTTGAAGTGAATTTTGAACATAATTTAAAAATTAGTTAGAATAATCTGAGGAGACTATAAGTGGTTATGAGCCAGGGACCACCTGAGTACCTCTAGCTTTGGTCACCATGTTGATGCAGTACCTCCTTTTTTATTGTAGTTCAGTCTTCTCTGCCAACAATTCTACGCCATGTTCCTGAAAAGGGTCATATATTCTCAGCGCAACTGGATGGTGATGTTATCTATACAGATCTTGGTGCCTCTGGTGATCATTATATTAAGCCTCACATTCTTCAACTTTAAAATGAGGAGCATGGGAAGTGTTCCCTTACAGTTGGCTCTAAATACATACGGTCAGACTATTGTTGCATTCTTTGTTTCTCAGAATTTCAAACTGGATCCTCAACTTTCAGATCATTTTGCAAATATGCTTGTGGCTCAGGGACAGATTCCTCTGGAAGTCCCAGGTAACTATCAGGCACAGGGCAATGGGGCACAAAGCAGGGCAGTTGTCCTTTGTAGGAAGACAACGTTCTTAACTGATAACTGGAAGTCTCAGAAAAAATCATTCAAACCCCAAATGACAGCAAAGGCAGGGTTCTTAGAAATGAGACCATGGTATTAAAGCATTCCCCAAAATGAAACTGATGAATTACTCACTATGTTTGAATATGCTGAAAGACTTACACTTCTATCAAGGGAATTTGTGGGTAAATTGGTGATAGATATAAAGAAAACTAAGGAAATGAAGAAAAAAAAGAGAACATTATTAATTTCAGGGAAAAAGTTGTACAAAAAGAAATATAGGGCTGGGGTTGTGGCTCAGGGGTGCAGCGCTTGCCTAGCATGCGTGAGGCAGTGGGTTTGATCCTCAGCACCACATAAAAATAAATAAATGAAATAAAGGTATTGTGTCCAACTACAACTAAAAATATTAAAATAAATAAAATGAAGTTTAAAAAATAAATAAAGTGGCTGGAGTTGTGGCTCAGCGGTAAAGCACTCGCCTCTCATGTGAGACCTTGGGTTCGATCCTTAGCAACACATAAAAATAAATGAATAAAATAAAGGTATGGTGTCCAACTACAACTAAAAAAATAAATATCTAAAAATAAATAAATAAATAAATAGGGCTGGGGATATAGCTCAGTTGGTAGAGTGCTTGCCTCACATGCACAAAGCCCTGGGTTTAATACCCAGCACCACATAAATAAATAAATAAATAAATAAATAAACAAATAAATAAATAAAGGTATTGTGTCCAACTACAACGAAAATAAATAAATACTTTAAAAATAAATAAATAAAGGCATTGTGTCAACCTACAACTAATATATATATATATATATATATATATATATATATATATAAAAAATGAAATATACTATTTGGATCAGCTGTGAATATTTTCACTTATTAATAGTAATGTTGAAACTGACTATCAGTTTAACAAAATTATGATGTAACTCTGGTGGGAGGACAGGGAGGAGAAATTCTTAGGGCTTGGTGATGATAGTAAGATAACAAAATAGCTGCTTCCATAATAAAACATTAACAGGTAAATATGCTAAGATACCCGCCTCTCATGTGCAGGTACCAGTGATGGTGCCGACAAGGCAAGGTACTATTCTTTCCCGATGTGTCTTATAGAAGTATTTGATTTTTTAAAAAATTATATTCTTGTACTATTTTGATTAAATAAAATCATAAAGTAATTACTTTTTTAATAAATTAAGAGATCAAATGCAGAATATAATGTAACAAAATGCTTTGGGTCAGTTGGAACACCCCATGCCTTAATGTGAATCTTAAATATCCCCCAAAGGCCTGTGTGTGGAAGTCTTGTACTCTGGAGTTGGAAGGTTGCGGAACCTTTAAGAGGGAGCAAGTAAGAGGTCTTAGGGTCCTTGGGGGTGTGACCTTGAAGTAGAGCGTGGGACCCCAGCCCCTGTCTCTTACTCTTTTTCACTTCCCAGTCATGAGGTGAGCAATTTGAGCTGCCATGCACTGACAACATGATGTGCCACCACAGATCCAAAGCAATAGGGCTAAATTACTATGGACAGAAACCTCTAAAACTATGGGCCAAAATAAACCTTTTCTCTTTATAAGTTGATAATCTGAAATATTTGTCATAGTAATGGAAAACTGATTAACATATCTTACCTCTCAAAGCATTCATCTCTTCATATACCAAATGGTCACAATACTAAATCCATCCTCATGGTGTCATTGGTACAATCCCATGGAGGAGAGGAGAGCCTACTGCATATTTGGCATAGCTGGTGCCTAGTAAGCATTCAGTCTGCAGTACTATTTTCATTATTGTTGTCATGGTCACTGAAGGTCCTGATTCCACTATGTGCTGGAAATGCAAAGATGAACAACATTTCTACCAGTCCTCAAGGAACTTCCAATCCAGAGGTCTTATGGATAAGGGATGGTACTTATGATATAAACTGGCAATGATGGATATATCCCAGCCTTGGAAGATCAGAATAGGCTCCAGAGTCAGAGCCTGACATATGAGTAGGTATCATCCAGTAGAAGGGGAAGGTAACCCAAAGAACATTCCAAACAACAAGCAGAACATCTAAAAGCTTGGGGAACTATATGTGCTTTGGTATAGCAGGCATTTAAAGACATGAGGCTGAAGCCAGGTACAGTGGCCCATGCCTCTAATCCAAGCCACTCAGGAGGCTGAAACAGGAGGATCACAAGTTCAAGGCCAATTAGTGAGATCCTGTCTCAAGTGTAGCCCAATGGTAGAGCACCCTGGCTCTTTAATTCCTAATAACACACACACACACACACACACACACACACACACACAGAATAAGAAGAAGGAAAATGAAGGTTTATTCTGGCTAATGGTTCTGGAGGCTGGAGAGTTCAAGAGCATGGTGCTGACGTCTGTTCAGCTTCTAGGAAAGGCCCTGCACTACATCATGACATGGTGGAAAGGCGGGAGGGTCACATGGTGGGATAGGAAGCTGAACTCACTTTCACAATTGTTTTCACATAACTAACCCACTCCCAGAAGACATAATTTACTCCCAGTAATCCCTCCACAAGGGTAGAGCCCCCAAGACCCAAACACCTCCTAAGGTCTCATACACTGTTACCTTGGGGTCCAATTTTCTACATCAGTTTTGAAGGGGACAAATGACATCCAAACCATGGCAAGCAGTGAATGGCTTCTGTACATCTCATGCAGAAATTTGACTTTATCAAGAAGGCAGTGGAGGGTCACTGTAGGTTAGTGGGTGGGTGAGATATGATCAGATGTGTCCTTTCAAGCAGAGACTGGAGGTACTGCATAGAAGGCAAGGAGTTTCATTAGAGGCCACATAGTCCAGGCAGAGATGATGGGGCTCAACTCAACTGAAGAAGTGGGGAGAAGTAAACAGAATTGAAAGAGATATAAAAGATGAAAAAACAAGATTGAGAGACTCACTGGAATTCAGAGTAGGGTGGGATAGGAGGAGGCTTGCTTTTGGATATGGGTTGGCATTTGGTGGAAACACCAACAAGGAGCAGTAAGTTGGGGGGAGCTCGGTCAGTCTTCCCTGTTCTGCAGGGACTGTTGTTATGTTCTCTCAATAATTCTTTCTGTCTGCTTGGTATTCTGCTCCCTTCTAGGTCCTGTAGAAGAGTTTCTATTGAAAAAGGCAGAAGCAGAACCCGAGGACTTTAATAGGCTGTATGTGGTAGCAGCTTCCTTTGAAGATATAGATAACCACACCATAGTGAGAGGGCTGTTCAACAACCAGGCGTACCATTCCCCTGCCTTGGCTCTGACTCTGGTGGACAATTATCTCTTCAAGTTGCTTTCTGGTGCCAGGGCTTCCATTACCGTTTCCAACCACCCTCAACCTCAGACAGCCATGGAGTTCTCAGAGAATGTCTTATACCAGTATGTATAACTTTCCTTCTCTCAAGTTCAAGCTTACACATCTGTAGGGCTTCTTGCTTTGTTACCTATTTCTTTCTTTGTTTCTTTTTTAAAAATATTTTTAGTTGTACGTGGAGGTAGTGTCTTTATTTTGTTTATTTATTTTTATGTGGTGCTGAGGATCAAACCCAGTGCCTCACACAAGGAAGGCAAGCACTTTACCGCTGGCTGAGCTACACCCCAGCCACCTCTTTGTTTCTTATTTAATTAAAAATTATTATTTTGGAGAGGGCTGCTGAGCCCAATTTTACTTAAACTGCTGCATTTCTCCTCTTATCCTATCTTTTACAGGGGCCCTAAAGGGCATTATCTTGTTATCAACTTGCTTTTTGGAATGGCTTTTCTATCTAGCTCTTTTTCCATGTTGACGGTCAGAGAGAGACGCATTAAGGCCAAGCACATCCAGTTCATAAGTGGAGTTTACATGGCTGCTTTCTGGTTCTCCGCTATGCTGTGGGATCTCCTGTCCTTCCTTGTCTGCCCTCTGCTCCTGATAGTGAGTGCTGAGTGGTGTTGGGCCCTTTCCTACAAAATGCTTGCCTTGGTGACACCTGTGTGGAACTGGAACCAGCTCAGAAATCCAGCCTGGCAGCCCAACCCTGACTAGGGGTCCTAGGAGTCAAGCTCCTTCAGAGGACCTCAGTAAAAGATGATTCAGCTGCAAACATCCTTAGGAACAGTGGGCCCTGCTCTAGGGCCTTTATGCAGTACCTACTGTGCTGCTGCCTCAAGCTAATGAGAAGCAATGCTCTGGGGATGTGTGTTTATTGTCCATAAATATATCTCCACAGAAATGACAGGTTGAAATATTTGACTGTAATTGAATTGAGTATTTTGAGGGTTCCCTAGTTACTTGATGCAGAATGGATCCCTTCCTGCTTTGTTCTCTGCACGCCTTATTGCACTGCACATTTCTAGGGCAGCAACCTAAAAGCAGAGCCCAGAACTTATTCATCACTGCACAGATAGATGAGGGAAAGAAAGGAAGTGCCGGTGAAGTATAGCTAACACCTTACTTTTAAAACTGAGGTTACCTGGGCTGGGGATGTGGCTCAAGCGGTAGCGCGCTCGTCTGGCATGTGTGCGGCCCRGGTTCGATCCTCAGCACCACATACCAACAAAGATGTTGTGTCTGCCAAGAACTAAAAAATAAAATATTAAAAATTCTCTCTCTCCTCTCTCTCTTTAAAAAAAAAAAAACTGAGGTTACCATATTTATTTTCCAGTGTTTAGGATGGAGTCTTAATGATTTTTCCCAAATCCTTCTCCTTGCCTTAGGTGGTGTTTTTATACTACAAGGAAGAAACTTTTACACACCATGAGAATGTACTGGCCATGATCTTGATGTTGATGCTGTATAGCTGGGCTATTATCCCCTTCATCTATGTGATCAGCTTCTCCTTTGACAGTGCTGGTAATGCTTGTGTTAAGCTTGTCATCATACTCACCTTCTTGAGCATCGGCCCCATTGTGCTCGTCTCAGTCACAGGTGAACAAGGTGAGGGCAAGGTCACTTCCACATCTCACATAAAGCTTTAATTTTTCCTCCAGCATCTGCAGAATTTGTACCCATTGAAAGTACATGTCCAGGGATGAGGTTGTGGCTCAGCAATAGAGTGCTTGTCTCGCACGTGTGAGACCCTGGGTTCGATCCTCAGTACCACATAAAAATAAATAAACAAAATAAAGACATTGTGCCCATGTATAACTAAAACAAATATTTAAAAAAGAAAAGAAAAAGAAAGTACATGTCCACCGAAGATCTGTAAGTATTCACAGCAGCTCTGGGTTGAAGAGTTCCAACTGGAATAACCCAAACACACATCTCCAGGAGGATAGAAAAACACTTCTGTCACATCTGTTCAGTAGATCACTGCTCAGCAATAAAACAGGAGCATGCAGCAGTGCAGCTGAATACCATACCAAAGATATAATGAACAAGAGTACACAGACTGCCATACCTACTGTGAAGACCATGAGCAGACAGAACTAATCCTGGGGACAGAATCAGGAAAGTGATTGCCTTAGGTTGAGGGGAGAAGGACAGGCTAATGGGTGGACACTAGGGACCTTTCTGGAGTGATGAGATGTTCATTGTCTTGATTGGGGTTGACTACATGGGCTTATATACTTGTGAAAAATCCATCAAATTGTCTACCTACAATCCTTGAATTTCAATAAAATGCATTATTCTTTAAGAAAAAATATAATATATACATGTGCCAAGGTTGAGGGAAGGATGTTTGGTGAGTGTGTAATCAGAGTTTAAAAAAAACTTAAACTGAGCATCATTCACAAGGTACACCTAGAACCAGAATCTACATGTTTATGTTGCCATCTCTCTTTGGGTCAGGGTTGTACAACCACCTGATACATTACATCTAAAATGCTCTTTCATTTGTATTTATGCAAAAGTCTCCTTCATATTGACTTTGGGGGCATTTTTACTTTAAAATAGGTAACAGGTCAGGCACACTGGCTCACGCCTATAATCCCGCCTCCTCAGGAGGCTGAGACAGGAGGATTGCAAGTTCAAGTTCAGCCTGGGCAACTTAAGATCCTGCTTCAAAATAAAAATTTTAAAAGGGCTGCAATGGCATAAAGCTTTCCTACCATGTTTGAGGCCTGGGTTGAAACCCCAATACTGAAGAAAAAACAACCACCACAACAACAAAGTTTCCTTCTGCTTTTATCTTAGGAGTCATTCTGTCTCATAAAGGACTCTTAATAAGAGTTTTATCTCCACAAACTGTAGAGGCTACAACCACATCATTCTTATCTGTCTTTAGGATGTCATTCCAACAACTGTGAAGCTGACCCCTAGACCCCATTCTATGTGGCCCCAGTTGACATCGAACCCATTCATTGCCTTCTTCCCTCCACTATGCCAGTGTGGTAGCCTTACAGTCACTGACTTTCCCAGACACACTATGTTCTTTCTTATTGTCCTGCATGAACAGATAGAATAGAAGTAAAATGGCAGGCTGGGGGCTGTGTCACATGCCTGTGATCCCAGAGACTTGGGAGACTGAGGTAGGAGGTTCACAAGTTCAAGACCAGCCTAGGCAACTTAGTGAGACCCTGTCTCAAAATAAAAAGTAAAATAAAAGGGACTGAGTATGTAGCTCTGTAGTGAAAGTGACCCTGCATTCAATCTTCAGGACCAAAGAAAAAGAAGGAGGGCTAAGGTTGTGGCTCAGTAGAGTGTGGCTAGGTAGAGTGCTTGCCTAGCATGTATGAAGCACTGGCTTCAATTCTCAGTTCAGTAAAATAAAAGTATTTAAAAAAAAAAAAAGAAGGAGGAGGAGGAAGCAGCAAAGTGATAGATTTAAAGAACAGAGAAAAATACTCATGGCTTGGAGACTGAAAGACGACAACACAGGGAACATGAAAACCAGGAGTCAGGGAAAGCCAGGCTTTTGGTCTGGAGGCCTAGAGTGCAACGGTCTGAGGTGAAGATGTGCCCTTTTCATCCTGAAAGTAGTCAGTGTTTTCATTCTCTTTACAGAGTTGGGCTACACAGAAATCTCAGAGTCCTTGGATCATACTTTTCTAATACTTCCAGGACACTGTCTGGGGATGGCTTTTTCCAACTTGTATTACAACTTTGAACTACAAAAGTTTTGCAATTCCAAGAATCTGAGCCAGATTGAGTGCAAAGAAGTTTGTGAGTATTTAAATGTAATTTGTTAATTACATTTTATTGAGATATATTCAGATAATGTTCTTCCTTTTATGTAAAATGGCATAGTAATGTAAGATTTATGTAAAATTGCATATAACCTGTGTACATCCTCCCATGTACTGTACTGATGTATTTATTTTTTGGTACTGGGGATTGAACCCAGAGACACTTTGCCACTGAGCTACATTCCCAGTCCTTTTTATTTTTTTGTTTTGAGACAGGGCCTCACTAAGTTACTGAGGCTGGCCTTGAATTTGTGATTCTCTTGCCTCAGCCTCCAAATCACTGGGATTATAGATGTGTGCCACCATACCCAGCCTCTTAAATAGTTTAAATCATCACTAGATCATTTATAATACTGAATATAATATAAATGTTATATAAATAGATGATATGCAGTATCACTTAGAGAATAAAGACATAAAAATCTGTTCAGTACAGATGCAATTTTTCTTTTCTGAATATTTTCAACTCATGATTGTTTGAGTGAATGCAGAGCCTATAGATACCGAAGGCTGGCTTTATTATGTCATTTTACAAAGGTACTTAAGCATTTGTAGATATTTATGTTCAGGAGGAGTCTTGGAATCCATGCTATACATATAGTGAGGAATGACTCCAACCTGCATGTGCACCAAAAAGAGATTGGTTAATAAACTATGGTATATATACATACATACAATATAAAATGATGCAGGCATCAAAAAGAATTATTTTGATCTGTGTGTCCTCATGTGGTTAGTGTCCATTATGCATTATTAAATGAAACAGTAAATTGGGGGAGAAAATGCATAGTGTCATTCCACATTTATTTTAAAAGATAATATCTAGGGCTGGGCACAGTGATTCATGCTTGTAATCCCAGAGGCTCTGGATGCTGAGGTGGGAAAGTGACAAGTTCAAAGTCAGCCTCAGCAACTTAGTGAGGCCCTAAGCAACTTAGCAAGATCCTGTCCCAAAAATAAAAAAATAAGCCAGGTACAGTGGTGCACGCCTGTAATCCCAGCAGCTAGGGAGGCTGAGACAGGAGGATCTCAAGCTCAAAGCCAGCCTTAGCAACTTAGTGAGGCACTAAGCAACTCAGTGAGACCCTGTCTATAAATAAAACACAAAATAGGGCTGGGGATATGGCTCAGTGGCTGAATGCCTTTGAGTTCAATTCCTGGTACCAAAAAAAGAAAATAAAAAGATGTTATTTTAAAAAATAAAAAAGGGTTGGGGTGCTGGGGATGTGGCTCAAGAGTAATGCACTTGCCTGGCATGCACGGGGTGCTGGGTTCGATCCTCAGCACCACATAAAAATAAAATAAAGATGTTGTGTCCACCGAAAACTAAAAAATAAATGTTAAAAAATTCTCTCTCTCTCTCTCTCTCTCTCTCTCTCTCTCTCTCTCTCTTAAAAAAAAAAGGTTGGGGATGTGGCTCAGTGGTTAAGTGTTCTTGGGTTCAATCCCTGGTACCAAAATAATAATAACGCAACAACAACATCTAGAAAATATAGAAGAATCATGCACAAAACTATAACAATATACCTTTATACCTTTCTCATTTTTCTCTTTTTTAAAATAATTTTAGTTTTAGATGGACACAATATCTTTTTTCTATTTGTTTATTTTTATGTGGTGCTAGGATTGAACCCAGGGCCTCACGAGTGCTAGGCAAGCGCTCTACCACTGAGCCACAACCCCAACCTTCTTTCTCATTTTTCTAATAAGTATGTATTTATTGTCTAATTTTAAACTACATTCATTTAAAAGAAAAAAATTGAGGCAAATGAGATCAAAAGAGAGAATAGAGCCTCCTGAAATTTTTTTTACATGAATGGTCAGTTGAAGTTGCCAGGGAATTAATGATTGAAAGAAGAACCAAAGCTGCCATGTAGATAAGAAGTCTTTTATTTATTTTGTTTTATTTCATTTTGGATTTTTTTGGTGTTGGGGATTGAACCCAGGGTATCACACATGCTAAGCATCCTCTATCACTGAGATTCATCCCCAACACTTTTACTTTTTTATTGATGAAAATTATATATATTTATGGTTTACAACATGAGAAAAGTCTTTTATTGCATATTTTTTACAAAACATTGGTCATAACAAGGAAAATAATATATTCACGTTTACTATTTGCTGGGATGTGGTAATAGCATCAATGGCAATAATGCTTCTTTTGGTGGTATTTGCCAGAATGGGAAGTTGCCTACTGTATGTACAGGGGAGGAATAGCTTTAAAAATTACCCAAAGTGATGACATCTCTTTATCTCATGTTAGCAGAAGGACATGTGGTTCAAAAGAACATCTATGCCTGGGAATCCCTTGGGATAGGGAAATATCTGGCAGCCTTGGCTATCTCAGGACCTTGGTACATCATCCTGCTTTTTCTTGTTGAAACCAAAGTGTTCAGGAGACTGAAAGCTAGGATTTCTAACTTCTTCCTGAAGCAAAAGTTGGTGAGTTGGACTCTAAATCCTCCAAGGACAGGTAAGGGCCTGGCTCCTTAGTGTCCTTGTTTTCTGTAGCTGCCTTGATTCTCTGGATTCCTATAGAGAAGGGAAAGAGTTTGGTTAGCCCCTGTGGCCCTGGTCAACATACTGGTCACCTGAAGTACTTTAATAGCCAGCTCATCAGCTAAGTATAAACAAGACATTGGCTTCCTAGAACCAGTCACCTTGTAGAACACCTCTTCCCCATTTAGCAATGAACTGACAGAAGAAAGGACTCTTTTGTCAGCTCTTGGTCTGATTATCTTCCAGAGGCCAAGATCCCCAAGGAAAATATAGGAAATGACTTCTGTTGTGTCTTGACATTCTGGGCTTAAAGTCTTTTAGTTTTCTTCAAAAGTTCACACCACGTGAGGTTTAAATGTCCAGCTAATCATGTTTATGTCAACATGAATTCTCTGTTGGACACCCACAGTGGCTCCTGAGATAGGGATGGTGGTATGAGCATGAGAACTGAGGTCGGCTGGGGCACCTTGGGGACTTCCCAGGAAGGATGTGGTCTTTGCGGTTCCCTTCAATCTCTATCTCCCACCCTTGCAAACATTTTATGTCTCTATCCTTGTCTTGGGAACTGTAGGCAAGATTGCTCGCAGCAGCATCAGTGCCTGAAGACCAAGATGTAGAAGAGGAGGCAAAAACTGTCAGGACTTATTTGGAAACGTTGCGAAAGACAAATCCACTAATTGTTAAAGAAGTGTCAAAGGTAAAGTCAGACTTGGCTTCAGAAAGCCAAATCTTGCTGGGCATGGTGGCGCACTCCTGTAATCCCAGCAATTTGAGGGGCTGAGGCAGGAGGATTACAACTTTGAGACCAACCTCACCAACTTAGTGAAGGTCTACACAACTTAGTGAGACCCTGTTTCAAAATTAAAAATATATAAAGGGCTGAGGATATGGCTCAGTGATCAAGCTCCCCTGAGTCCAATCCTAGTACCAAAAAGAAAAAAGAAAGAAAGAAAGAAAGCAGAGATTTCTCAGGTCTTTTGCATGAGGAATCCGCCCATTGACAGGCTCAAGGCCTGTCTACAGTAACTCAGGAGCTGCTGATGGAGATGTGGTTTCTCTGTTTAAGAATGAAGCACATCTGAGTTTGTTTGTGCACCCAGACTCTGCCCAATTTTCTGTCTTTTCTGTGGTCCTCTGGAAGATAGAAGGGCCTGGGATGGGAAGGGACCTGAGCCATGAACCCTGAGAAGGAAGGAAGGCTGGAAGGTGGGACATGAACTTATGGAATATTTCCTGGAATGTAGAAGACAACTAGAGATGGGCCAAGGCCTGAAAAGGGGTCTAGAAACTCAAACCAATCCTCCCTAGTCTTCCTGATAGCCCCAGGGAGAATTTTGAGAGACCTTCAAATATCCAGGTACTGTTTAGCATTTTCCCCCCAAAATTTATTAGTCTTGTTGTTTCATATAGTTTCTGGAGGTTAAAACAACATCAATAAGCCTTCAGGCAACAATCCAAGGGATTTTGTTGGCTTCAGGAACAAAAGAGAAAAAGCTTATCTTAAGGGAATTGAGTTCTCAAAATGCAAAGAGAGTGGGAGGATAGAAAACCTTACTGAGCCTGCTGGGAGCAGTGGCTGAGAAAATGCAAGTCTGAGCCTGGGATGTGAGAGGCCACCTGGGCCCCTGAGGGCAGCTCAGACCTGTTGCTGACTACCAGCCTTCTCCCTTGTCTCCTGTCTTGCATATCTTAGGTCTATATCAAGAAGGTACCCCTGCTGGCTGTGAACAAAGTATCCTTCACTGTTCAAGCTAAAGAATGCTTTGGTCTTCTTGGAATTAATGGAGCTGGAAAGACTTCCATTTTCAAAATGCTGATAGGACAGAAGCCCATCACCTGTGGGGATGCATTTATTAGGGGTCTTAGCATCAGCTCTGACCTAGGGAAGGTGGGTATCACCTAGAAACAAACTTGGGGGGTTGACACAAGATTTGGGGTCAGGGAACTGGAATAAGACCAGATCTCTGAAAAGTCCACATATCAATTTCATCTGTGACTTCCAAATCCTTATCTGCATACTGCAAACTTCTCTGAGCTCCAGACTAGATGTTGCACTGCTTACTCAACATCACTCTTCCCCCACCCCTGCATACTCATGCCCCATACTTAAGCTCCCCCACACCCTGGGATTTATGAACATTAGGCAAGACCTCTGCCACTGAGCTACACCCAGCCCTTTTTATTTTGAAATAGGGTCTTGCTAAATTGCCCAGGCTGGCCTTGAATTGGTGAACCTCCTGTCTCAGCCTCTCAAGGAGCTAGGATTATATAGGCACACACCACTGCACCCAAGTACTACACATCTCTTGAGTTTTTCTAGGCACTGGAAACTCAAAGGGCCCCCCTTCTTTCCTTCTTCCCCTTGTTTTCTGGACAGTGACACACATCCACCTGCCATTCAAGGCATCCTTCAAGATGTCCAATTGGCAGCCTTGGTTCATGGATGTTCTCAGCCAAATAACCCTTGAAACTTCTCCATGGACCTGTTCCTACTACACTCATCCTAGTTGAGATGACCTAATTTTCAGTCTGTATCTTCCCTGACCTCTCTGCACCAGCATTTTGTATTGCTGGTCTTCTCCTTTGCACTCAAGCCTTCCTTTGCTTGTTCCACAGCTGCCCTCTCTCCTTGCTGTTCTGTCTCAAACTCCTATCGTAGATCTTCATCTTTATCTGGCCCATCAGTTGCAGTGTTCCGGGAGCTACACCTGTAGCCCACTGTCCTTGTTCTAGACACACTGTCCGTGCCTAGTCCTTTTTATTGGTCTGCCTCCTGTTATTCTCTGTTTGCTCATGTCTCCCAAATAGCCATGTCTCCAGCCCTACTCCAGTGGAATTTCTCAGCTTCCATAGTTGTGTGAGCCAATTCTTATATCCTTTCTGTATATCCGTATATTCACATAAACCCTATATATGAAGTATGAGCTATTGCACATACCTGTAATCCCAGCTACTGGGAAGGCTGAGGCTGGAAGATCACAAGGTTTTTTTTTTTTAAATATTCCAATGCCAGTTTATTTTTTAAAAGAGCTCTGTGTTTTATGGTTTACCTTTTTTAAAAATAATTTTATAGAGTCTGGGGCTGGGGCTCAGCAGTAGTACACTTGCCTGGAATGTGTGAAGCACTGGGTTCAATTCTTATCACCGCACATAAATAAATAAAATAAAGGTCTAACAATAACTAAAAAAAATTTAAAAATAAAATAATTGTACAGTCTTACATGAATTGTAATGATCTAATACTATTAATAGCTGTTCAAAAAACAAACAAAAAATTCCTTTCCCCCTCAATAATCATCCAGGGAGAATTAAAATTTCTGAAAAGAGGCTAATTTAACATGACTTCTAACCTGGAAGAAACAAAAAGAAAAAAAAGAAGGGGAAAGAGAAAGAGAGAGAGAGAAGGAAACAGAAATTAAGAGGTGTGCTGCTAGTGTTTTTCATTAGTAGGGCTCTGGCTCTGGGGTTGTGAAAGACAGTCTGCAGCATGCAGTATGGCAGCTGGAGACCTGAGAATCCCATCTTCTTCCCCACAGCATGTCCATGTTTTGACTTCAGTGTCATGGAAATTCTTGCAGGGTTCTTCTCTGCTGTTCTGCTATATGCATCTGGTTTGCCAAGTCCATTGTGTCATACTGTCTATATGTTTCACTTTCTTCTAGAGGTTTTCAATCTCTGAGCCTGCTAGTATTTTTTTTTTTAAAGAGAGAGTGATAGAGGGAGAGAGAGAGAGAGAGAGAGAGAGAGAGAATTTTTTTAATATTTATTTTTTAGTTATCGGCAGACACAACATCGTTGTTTGTATGTGGTGCTGAGGATCGAACCCAGGCCGCACGCATGCCAGACGAGCATGCGCTACCGCTTGAGCCACATCCCCAGCCCCGCCTGCTAGTATTGAAATAGCTTCTTCCTGGGGCCAGACTCCATATAGTACGCATATATGTAGGTGTATTACAGAATACATCAACACTTGGCTAAGAGCTTGGAAGCATTCTGTAGGTACTGCCTGTCAATTCAAGTCCCCAGATTGTTCATGACCCTTTCCTGAGTCTTCCCATGAATCCACTGGTATGTTTGTGCCTCTAACTAAGTTGTTTTTTTTTTTTTTTTTTTTTTTTTTTTTTTTTTTTGGTTTTTGGTTTTTGCAGGTCTCAAAATAGAAAAGTACTTCTATTTAAAAAAAAATTTAGTTGTAGATGAACACAATACTGTTATTTTATTTATCTATTTATATGTGGTAGCTGGGTGATCCCAGCGGCTCAGGAGGCTGAGTCAGGAGGACTGAAAGTTCAAAGCCAGTCTCAGCAAAAAGCGAGGTGCTAAGTAACTCAGTGAAACCTTGTCTCTAAATAAAACACAAAATAGGGCTGGGGATGTGGCCCAGTGGTCGAGTGTCCCTTAGTTCAATCCCTAGCACCCCCACCCCGCCACACCAAAGAAAGATATTTTTATGTGGTGCTGAGGATAGAACCCAGTGCCTCATATATTCTAGGCAAGTGCTCTACCACTGAGCCACAACCCCAGCCCACACTTTTTTTCTTTTTTTGTACTGGAGATTGAATCCAGGGAAGCTTAATCACTGAGCCACATCCCGAGCCCTTTTTTTTTTTTTTTTTTTTTTTAAAGAGAGAGTGAGAGAGAGGGGGGGACAGAGAGAGAGAGAGAGAATTTTAACATTTATTTATTTTTTCTTAGTTCTTGGCGGACACAACATCTTCGTTTGTATGTGGTGCTGAGGATCGAACCCGGGCCGCACGCATGCTACCACTTGAGCCACATCCCCAGCCCCTCCCCAGCCCTTTTTAATTTTTTTTTTTTAAATTTTGAGACAGGGCCTAACTAAGTTATGAGGCTGGCTTCAAACTTGCAATCCTCCTGCTTCTGCATCCTGAACTGCTGCAATTATAGGCTAGAACAAATATTGTTGAAGGCCTCCCTGGCCTGGGCTTGCTCATTCTGGCCGACAGTATCGGGATTCTCCTATACCAATTTCACTCATGGTACTTGAAACAGAAGACCTTATTGCACTGCACTTGGTGAACTCTGGGCTCCTATACCAGAATAACCATGGGGCAGTTTGCAGCAGGGCACTGTTGGAGCTGGTAATGATGCTCCACACACTCCCTGAAGAGGTAGCACCTGTAGTTGTCTTTCAATTCTTCATTGGGAAACAATGAAACACAAAGTGGGGAGTGTACAGAATGGACAGTTCTGAGCCACATGAGAGACTCCCACATCCAACTGTCCTTGACAAGTATTGAGCAGTGCTGCTCCTAGTAGCTACAGCAAAATTGAGCCAACAAGCCAAAGATTCCCTTTCCACATAAACTTCACGCATACTGTTCAGTGGTTAGGGGAATGGGCTGTGGGATGGATTAGGCTGAACTTGCACTTCAATGAGTAGTTGAGAAGAACTGGACTCATTTCTGTCTAAGATCTCTGAGACTGGCCCGTGCAAATAACTAGTATTAGTTTAGCAACTGAATGAGGTAACTTTAAGACAGAGGCTAAACTGTCTTAAAGCACATGGCTAAGGTCTCAAGATTAAAGCCTCAAGATTAAACTCCTCAAGATTAAAGCCATCAGCCCTCTGCTCTCCAAGTTGCTGGCTACTCCCACACATAATAGTCCTCTATGTTCTCAGGGTTCTTGATCTCTTCTTCCTTCTCCTCCACACAATTTGGGTCATAGTCCTCTTCATTGCTTTCAGGCCCCTAACTATTCATGTCCACCAATATCTTAGCATCCAATCAAGTTGTAAATCAGGAAATAAGTTGCTTTTTCTCCCTCTCCCCAAACTTACTGCTTTCTCATATCCATTAGTATTTTTGTCTTCTATAATTCTGAAGACCTTTCAAGCAGCTGTGATCCAAATATTGTGTCATATGATTTCCATCAGGAGTCACAAACCTGCAGTCAGAGTCTGAGCAGGACAGATCAGGTCAGGCCAGGCCACAAGAATTGGATTGAGGTGTAGTAGTGGCAGAGCAGGGCCTGCCCTGCTTCCTCTGAACAGATCACAAGTTCGAGGTCAGCCTTGGCAACTTATCGAACTGGGAATGAAGCTCAATGGTAGAATGCTACTGGGTACAATTCTCAGTACCAAAACCAAAAAAGAACCAATAAGACAGAAAAGTTAATGGCTAAAACTATCTAAACATTTTGAAAGATATCACATTACAAATAAATGAAGCCCTATTAACCCTAAGCAGGATAAATTAATCAATCCCTAGGAACATTATGGTAAAACTGCTGAAAACCATACACAAAAAGAAAATCTTCAAAGGACCCAGAGACCAGTCTCAACTCTAAGGAAGAGGATATGACACAAGTGGGAGTGATTACACCAGGGAACTTCCACAGTACAACAGAACTGATTTTTTTTTTTTGTAAATTTGAGACTTAATGTAAATGTGATTTCGCACCATAATTCATGTAAATCAGACTTCAGCAATTTTTGTTGTATGATTTTGCTCTTTTGTAAAGCACAATTGTCCTTGTACAAAATGCTCATATTTAATTACAAACTGCTTTAAAATCACAATTGAAGATATGAGAACTATTTGGCTTATTGTACAATGCAATGGATAGAAAGCCCTTTCAAGTCATGTTATATTTGGATTTGGGGCTGGGACAGGGAGAGCAGCAGCTGTGTCAGCTAAGTGCTCAAACTTGCACATGAATATGGAGAATAATTTCAAAATCTTACCAACCTGAACATCCAAGGAGTTATGGAAACGTTTTTGGTAAGGGATTGGCATTGTTGATAAAGCCACTCCTGTCATTAACTGTATTTCAGGATGTTCTCTCTGTTGCCATGAACATTGTAGGTAATATTCATAAGAACATCAATTCAGAGCCAAAATGCCTCGAATCTCCACATCTCTT